CACACTCCCCCACAGCTTTATCATCAGACAGAGGGTACATACAAAAAAATACATGTTCTCTGCCATTCCTCTGTAAAACTTTTTGGGCCTTCAGTCTTGAGGTCTGCTTCATCATCTCACACTCAATGACTGTAGTAGATTTAGTGGGAATGTTATACCCTGTCATAGTAATCAAAGTGAATTTTGAACATATTGTTTAACCTTCTGATACCTAAACTGCCTGCACTTTGCTTTTCCTGAACATGACAGATTACCTGCGAATTGCCTACTATGTAAGATCGTTGATATGGAACAGCGTATAAGCTGTTCGTGATCCATCACTCTGTTGTGACACAGAGTCCTGCACTCACTAAAAGTAAAATGCAAGAAAATTGTACTTTAAAAATTAATTCAGATTGACCAAAACCAGGTAGGTTGTTCCAAACAGTGCTGAAAAAAGGAAGCAGTTACTGGTAAATAGATTGCTTTGAAAGAATTCGTGTCCATCTTTCGGCAGCTAAATGGTGCAACCTGTAATGCTGGCATTAATGGGTAGCACATGATATATTCATATATTTTTATGGGGCCTTTAATCTCAAAGTATTCCTAAGCATTTTCCTAACTTATATTAATATACAATCTCTAAACCTGTCTCTTGGTTTATTTCTACAATACAGACACAAAACAGAACATGACCATCTATTTAGCAGAGTACCACAACATCACAGAGCAACTGAGGGAGGGACGTAGATGAGAAGAGCACGTCTATTTGAAAATGTAAAGAAATCTGGCGATGTTCCAGTTGAAACTTCTACAATGTGGTTAGGTCACTGGGTTTAGCAATCCTACATCTATGCAAAGAGATGTTCAATTATTACAGGTGTACAGAAGCTTGGCTTTACTTTGCATCCCAGATACGGCACTTCTGGCATTAGAGTGATTCTAATCCACCCACTGGGGCAACAGATCAGGCCAAGCTCAAGAGCACAGAACATTGTCTATCGAAGCAGCTGATTTTCCTGGATGGTTCTTCACCCAATGGCCTAAATGCTTTTTTTTATCTCTATGCTATGATTATAACGGCGCATTCCTGCTAATATCCATCTTCTGTGCAACTGGAATAAAGAACCATAGAGATGTTTTAGAGGGAGCTCCACTTAAAATTAACCATAATACCCACCAGCTGATATCTTCCAGATGAGACGGTTGCTCCACTAGTTCAACTTTACACATTCTAATATCTATCATTATGTTGAACCAATTCAGGGACCCAGTCTGGCCTGTGGGGCCAGCTATGCACTACTCATCAGGCCTGTGGGGCCCAACAGTTTGATATTAGGGGTGTGTGAAACGGACCATACTGGATTCAGATTCAGCCTGAATTGGGAACAGTGATTTGATTAACTGATTTGGATCACTGCCCCCGATTCGATTCAGCCAAATCCAAAGATTTGATGCTGATTCAGCCACAGACACAGCTTTAAATGTTTTTTCTACATAACTCGAGGTACCAAGTATGGCTCGTGAATGCTGAGATGCTGGGGAGGATGGAGCATGCCACAGGGGCGCCCCCCCTGTGCACTCCCTGGCAGATCCAGAAGTGGATCAGAAGTGCTTCTGGTCCACTTCTGGATCTGCTGCTGAGCGTGATGGGCACCCCCCTGCACTTCTGTGGGACACTCCATCTGCTCCACCATCGCACCACTCACGAGCTGCCTGGTACCTTGAAGTACACAGAAAAAACATTTAAAGCTGTGTCTATACCTGAATCGCCAAATCTTTCCAAATTGATTTGGAGGGTTCGGATTCATTTCGGAGAGATTAAAGGGTCTCCTGATTTGATTCAGATTTGGAGATTCAGCCACTGAATTGGGCTGAATCGGATCAGGGACCAAAGCTTCACACAGCCCTATTTGATATGCCTGCCCTAGCATACGTGCATATGTTCAGCTGGAAATGGTACAATGACTACCTACAGGCTGCATACTGAAGTCAATCTCTTCAGAGCCTTGTTTGGAGCATGATGTTACCAGAAGTATGCATAATGATATATCCTAAGAAGTAGGGCCTAAGTCTTCTACGATGGGGGGTGGTGGTGGGGACAAGGTAGAAGTCTAAACCTGGGGGACCTGAAGACCCTGCCAGAAAAAGGATCAGTTTCTGTACATGGGGAATTGGCTGACCTGTTTATATGGGTTTTCATAGAAGAAGCTTCAGACTAAAGGTGAGAGACATATATGCACTCATCTTTATCATAATTAATTTATTCCTCTATAAAATGTAGCAGAGAAATAAGTGATAATGTTTCATTGGTTAAACATACTGTTGCATTGTTCTTTCACTGACATTAACTGAATGGAAATTTTTTTTGTTAAATGTAGTTCTAGAGCAATTTAAAAGGTTAAACCACAGAATGCCTACCTGTGTGAGAAAAATCTGAAGTGAATAAAGGACTGAGCTTACTCTGAGTACTTTGCTACCAGGATTAGCACTTACACAATTCAGGAGTTCATTAAAATGATTTATAGCTTTATTTTTATTCAAGTGCTACTTTTCTGCAGCATATATATGCCATAGTTCTCTGATAAGAATCCAGTTTAGAAACTAGTTTAAAAAAAGCCAGTATCAGTGCTATTTTCTAATTAGTGGTATGCTTATTTTCTTTTACTCTATAACGTGCATGATATTTACTAGGGGCTTTAAAAATCCAGATATTGAGCAAATTTATTTGCACTGTGCTCTTAAATAAAGCAGCAAACATCACAGCTCCCTTTAGTTTACAGTAGTAATAAGTGGAAACCATGTAGATTTTGATCCCAGTAGAAGCATGCATGCCGTTTCTAATGAGATATTGCATTGTGCTATATTACAAGCAACTCCTGTATTAGGGTTTATATTTCTTGTTGAAAGTATGACCATAACCTCTCTCATAAGCTCCCTTCATTGCTGTTTGTAATGGTAACCACAATGGTCTTGATGAAACATGTTAGTGTCGTCTTAGAAGTCAACTGGAGCACTTTTAACGCAAAGCATTTATACTCTGCACCTGCATCATCAGAAATTTGACCAGATGATATAGACAGCACATGAGCACTCATGCTGTAGAATCATTTGAGTTCACTACAGAGGGGGAGAATTTTTGTAATTATTATTTCTCAACGATGCACCTAAGTTACAGAGACAGCACAATGAAATTCTCCAGGCATGTTTCATACCCAAAAATCAAGTAAGAACTTTGAGGCCTAATGCATGCATGTGTTTGACTTAAACAGATTAGGGGAGCCCACTTTAATGAAAAAAAGAAAACAAAACACAAAAACCCAAAACAAACCAAAACAAATTAAATCATACAAATGCATATTATAGAATCTTTTTTAATAACCACATTTAGCTTTTCTGCTAGTGACTATTAATGCTGTATTAGCAAACTCCCTCAGGAATCTATGCTTAATCCCTCTGTCCTAACATCCAAGACAGTTGGTGTCCATAGTAATAAATATTCTTGGCCAGTTCCCATGTTCGTGCTTCTGATCTGGTAAGGCAATCACCAACAGTAAGCAGTGGTGAGTAATTCTACAGTAGATTCTAACAATGGATTCCTGACAGCTGGTAGACAGTCAGGGCTTCCTCTGTAGATATATAATATACATATTAAAAAAGCAGACCTCTATGCAAGCATAGTCAGGTTATCCAGAAGCTGTCAGGCAGCCCTTTCTATGGCTTTCAATAGTGTTGGATCAATAGTACCTAATATTCATGAAGAATTTTGAAAGAAATGGTCACCTTTGAGATAAGAAACAGTATGTCAGCAGTCTGCTACAAGTTACCTTTTTTCTCCATTCTTTTCATATCCATCAACTTCTCCACGTTGTTGGGATCATTTAACCATAGCTGCATGCGGACAAAGGGCTCCCGTCCCTTCAAACTCAGTTTGTGCCAGGGCTTAGGGCGAGCCAGAAGGTCTGAGACTGAGCCTTGTGTTAGCCCTAGGATTGTCTCCCCAAACAAACGCTGACCTAATAAGAAATCAAAGCTGAAATGTATTCATTCAGCTAAGAGGCAAGACTAACTACAAAGAGAAGAAAAGAACAAGATTACAAGGTGGAAGTAGACTAATTTCTTTAAAGTGTAGTGGAGCTGTTATATATGCTCACTATCAACTTTACTTATTTCAGACTTGCCTGAAGACCAAACAGAAATATGCAGAAGAATAAAAACTCTGCTCCCTCATTAAAGATATATTTAGTTTTAGTTTAACGCTTAGTGTCCAATTCTGGCAATGAAGGGTTCTCAAGACTTTTGGGGATCAAAACCTTACAATGAAAACCATTTAGAAAAGAAAAAGGCAATATATAACATTAAAAAAAAATAAATCAAGCTCTTATCTAACCAGTCAACTACAGCAAGATCACTACAGCTCCTTAGGTTTTATGTAGGAAGGTACCAAACTACTTTATTCCATTAAGATAATATAAACATTTCAATCAATCAATGAAATCAAGGCTAACAAACCTCCTGTTTAGCAACATTCACGCTGCTGCCTTCACAGACTTGTAAATGCTTTCTGTTTTGTATTGTTTTTGTTGTCACTATAAATATGCTTTAATAATTGCAGATAGCCATACTTTAAAATGCAGTAAGAGTGGGTGTGCTCTTATTATTATTATTACCACTACAACAGCTTAGGTAGCACTTCCAGTTAAGAATTCTTTATTTTAATCCTGTTTCAAGTACTATACAACAGAATAGTAGAAACTGCAAATATTTCACAATATGCACACTTTACTTGGATGTATTTTTAAGTTTTAGTTTTGCAGTAACTACAGAAAAAGTCCATGGAGTCCCAAACAGGTCATACATTGAATTTCCTAATACCTTTCACTTACATGCTCTTCCTGAGCTAAACTGTCAAGATACCCAATAGCTTTTGTTGCAAGAGAGAAGCCTGCAGTCATATGAGTCATAAACATTGATTTCTGATAGAGCTGTAGCTATTGTATATTTTAAAGGTACCTGGAAAAAGCTTTGTACCTGCCAAGACTTGTGGCCTCAAGGTTCTATGCCTGCCCTTCAACACTTGGGCGGCCTCAATACAATCTAAAGCAGTAGTCTTCACTAGCTCCAGGCGCAAGTGATTTTGGCCAGTAGTATCATTAAGTCTCTATGACCAGTGCAGAGACCTTTGCTTCTAGGGCCCTGCCTTATACCTCCTAGGCAGAGCACATCAACTATTCCATACCATTAGTTCTACCTGATTCTGGCACAAGCGGGCCATGGTAGAGATTCAGTTTCCTAAAATCTTTCCTTATGTCCTACTTCAAACCTTGTCCCCTTTTCAGTTTCCTGATCTACATTGAGAGTCTGAAGGCAACAAGATGAACCTCCAAAGCACATGAAAGGGCAGATGGACCTGAAGGGGTTGTAGCTAGAGATACCCAAAGGTGTTGTTGTGGGTATGTTGAGGTAAGGACTGGAAACCAAAGTGAAGTTAAGTTGGACAGGGCCTTTATATGTTTATGCTACTTTATATGAAGCCCTCCACTTGGGTCCTACTGAGGGAACACAGAACATGACACTCAGGTTTTAGAATTTATGTAAAGGAGTAAGTGGTTTGCCACAACAGTTATAGCATATCTGTTTGTTTTTTTTATTTTAAACTCTTGCTATCTAAAATTCAAAATAACTGTACCCATTTGGGATCATCTGATAATCAGTATTCCAGAGTCTGCCAATCCCTTGCTACTGTGTGGAAATCTTAAATCGGCTGTTTAAACTAACACCACCCCCCATCACATCCAATTAGCCAAAACTTTCTCACTGTTGCCATTGCCAGTAATAGTTGGTAAAATTACAACCAGCATCTAAATGCTAGAAGGACTAGGAGAGATCTGCCAAGCACATTTCAATTACTTGAGTCATATGACCCAAAATAATTTCACATTACTGCCCTCGTTAGTGGCTAATGATTTTTGAACTACTCAGCCACTAGAAATTGGCTGAGACATGTTCACATGGCTCTTAGGCTTAAAATAGAGAAACTTCAGCATCGAGTAAATCTGGTGCTTCAGCACACTGAGGGCAAAAGGAAACATTTAAACTTGTTCCACACCTAATGCAGAGTTTGGGGCACATTTCCTGGCTCTTCTGCTGCTTTTTAGGCTTGTCAGCCACGCTGTAGGAAAACAAAAATCATGGTAAAGAAAAAAGACTAAGTAAAAATGGCATCAAAAGAAATGTAAACAAAAATACGTTTCAAATCCTCTCTGGAATACCAGAAGAGGCACAGTACTCAACAGCATTCTGAACAAAAAAGCTTGACCCTGCAACTTGTCCCACTGCACTGCACATAATGCTTTTTTAAATTTTATTTTATTTTACTGTACATAGATAGCTCCAAAGAGTGAATACTCTGGTCTGATCATACAAACATAAGCATGAACGTAGTTCCATGAAACTCCGTGGGGCTTGTTGTCATGCATGAGTGTTTACCGATTTGTTCTTTTCAAATAAATGCAAAAGATAACTTGTTAAAAAAGGCAACTTTTTCTCAATTTAAATCTAAGATGACATCCCTTGTTATTTTGTGTTTAGCTGAAAAAAAGGTCCTCTGACTCCACGTGCTAAAAAATACAGGAGCCTCAGCTTAAATGATTACAATCTTAACCAGAAGTCTAGGTTGTATCACCGATGCAATCTTTGCCCGTCTGTTGCCTTCCATCCAAGGATCTGAAAAGTACTTTACATTCACAAAAGCTTTAAAATTCACAGTTCCTTCTGAGGGAAGGACATATTGGGCATGGCTGTACGTGACACTATGGCGATGTTGTTACTGTGCTATGATTTAGTACTTCCTTTTGGAAGTACAAACCACGGCACAGTAACAGCCCGTACCGCACCATACGTGTGGCACACCCTTATTTTTATCAGGTGCTTTGCCGTAGCGGTGCGCTATACTGGGGGAGTGCATTGCTACAGGGATGTAGCTGCTGGTCATGTGTAGACACTTGTGCACGCTACACTGCCGTAGCGCATTGCTACGGCAACATACCGTCACGTGTAGACGTGCCCATTAAGTAGGGACACTAGAAGCTAGTGACTTACTCTGAGGCACAAATAAAGCCAGCAGCAGAATTAGTAGCAGAACCAAGATCTACTTGTCTCTCTTTTCTGTACCTTAACGAACTCATCATACTTCCCTTGGTAGCTCTGCATAGGATCAGCCACATCAACAATACGTTGATCTGGTAATTGCATTTTGCACCCAACCCTCACCTACTTGTACAGCTGTAGGGCCTCTTGTGACCACTTCTAACATGGACAGGGGACCTAAAGGCAAAGTACAGTGTCTCAAGCGGACAGCTGATTTTGCTCTATGACACTGCCTGAGATGGGATTGTATTCTGGTTGATGGGCCAGGTGTAACGTGCAGAAGTGAAAGGAATGAAGTTTTGGTCTGACGTAGATAATTGATGGTGATGTTCTCTATTAGATTAGAGCAGTTTTAAAATAGATGCAATTTGAGACCTACACAGTTTGATACTGTCCCTTTTAAGCTCTCTAATCAAGCACAGCTTAAAAAGAAAAATATTAAACCTTTAATGAAATGAAAAAGACATCAGACTAAACCTTACCAAGGTTGTTATCTGTTAACACTTCTTTGACCCTCTTCGTAATGCCATATGTGTCCAATTCAGGTGACATAGCAACCAATTCTTGAATGCTGAGTGCCGAATGGCCAGACAGAGGCAAAGGTGTTGTAGACTGGGATTCAGAAGCAGGTGGCTCACTTGATTCTTGTGGTTTGCTATCCTTACTTGTCTCTATAGCAGGACAGGGTTGTTGTACCAATTCAGTCAGGCTCTTCACTGATTCACTGGAACTCATAGGAGATTCAGGAGCAGGACTGCAACTGGCAGAGGTCTTTGGAGTGCTTTCTGTAACGAACGAGAGAGAGACAGAGAACCTGACTTTAGCTTAATTATTGAGCCATCAAGCCATTAAGTCTACTTTCCTTCCCATTTATATTTTATATACCTAAAGAAATGTCCAGATACACTAAAAGTACAGCAAAGCCCTAAAATGCTGTTTTTAAGGATTTAGATGCTAAAACGTTTCCTTCAAAAAAATTAAACTATTTCATAATTTGATTACCTTCTGATAAAGGTAAAATATATAAGCATAACAAAAAAAATAAACCTAAAAGTTAATAAAGGTGCAATATACTGCAGTATCATTTTTCTACCATGTATTCTGAGAAGCGTTACTAGTAGAACATTTTAAAAAGGTATCTCTGGCCTATAACAAACAGACATGGCGCTACAGCAGTAGTGGTTAAATAAGACCTTACGAGGGGCACAGCTATGTATTAGGGGTGTGTGAAGTGGGCCGTATTCAATTTGGATTTGGCCCAATTCAGGGAACAGTGATTCAATTCACTGATTCGGATCACTGTCCCGATCTGATTTGCTCAAATCTGAATCTGAAGATTCGATGCCAATTCGGAGAATCAGTGATTCGGTCACAGACACAACTTTAAATGTTTTTTCTACATACCTCGAGGTACCAGGTGCAGCTTGTGAACGCTGAGATGGTGGGGTGGATGGAGCGCCCTGCAGGAGTGCAGGTGCCCCCACAGACCCAGGAGGTACCAGTCACTGAGCCGGGGGTGGGGGGAGAGGGGTCTGCGGCAGACCCAGAAGTGGATTGGAAGTGTTTTGGTCCACTTCCGGGTCCATCGCCGAGCGCACCTGGTACCTTGAGGTATGTAGAAAAAACACTTAAAGCTGTTTCTATGGCCGAATCATCGAATCTTTCCGAACTGAACTGGAAGATTAAAGGGCTTCCTGATTCGATTCAGATTCAGGCACCGAATCGGACCGAATCTCCACTGAATCGAATCAGTGACTGAAGCTTTGCACAGCCCTACTATGTAAGATAGAAGCCGGACTCGAGGGGATCGCCTTCAGACCTCAGGTTGGGGAGGACCGGGTTAGAGAGCTTCTGGAGGGGCTGGATGCGTTCAAGTCAGCGGGTCCGGATGCTCTCCACCCCCGGGTGTTGAGGGAGCTAGCTGGGGTTATTGCAGGGCCCCGGCACAGCTCTATGAGCGATCGTGGTGCTTGGGCCAGGTGCCAGATGATTGGAAGGTAGCAAATGTGGTCCCCATCTTCAAGAAGGGGAAGAGGGAGGACCCGGGCAACTATAGGCCCGTCAGTCTTACCTCAATCCTGGGGAAACTCTTTGAGAAGATCATCAAGGAGCACATTTGTGATGGGCCGGCATCAGAAATGATGCTCAGGGGCAATCAGCATGGATTTAT